AACAAAAAAAAGTATTTATTTTCACACTAAAAATACAGGAACTATATAATATTTTTGCATCCTGATGAACTAGGTACTATTTAGTTTGCTTTCTTATTCAAAACACAAGAGGAAATTTTTATTCATTTTTGCTACTCTGATAGTAAAAGGCTCATTAGGACAAAAAAAATCAAATACAAAATAACAGATTCCCTTTGATACTTTAAAACTGACATACAAACTGTATTCTGGATTATAGTTTGGAGATAAATAAATGTATCACCATATTTACTGAATCAAAGATGACATTGAATTTAAGATGACCCCCAAATAACTGGATTCTATACATGGAAAACTTATAAATTCGTCATAATTTTCCATGTATAGAATTTAATTATGGAAGAGTCATCTTAAATCCATTCCCCCCACCCCTACATCATTCCAAGCAGCAATAGGAGGGCAGGCAGCAGGGAAGTCAAGTGGCATGACCCCTGCCCCTTCCCCCCTGTCCTCCCCACAACTGCTGCCTGCCCCTCCCTAATGGCTGCACACCCCGGTGCCTACCCCCTCTCAAAGGTGCCTGCTCCACCTACCATTTCCACCCCCCTTTCTGTGCCTGTACACCCTGGCACCTGCCACTGTCCACAGTGCTTGCATCCCCAGCAACTACCTACCTCCTACATGCCCATCCCCACTACCATTTATCCTCTAACTCCGGCTCAGGGCACAGAGCACATGGTTGCTCTAGGCCCCTGCCTGGCTACACAGCAACAGTGATGATGGCAGCAGAACCGGAGGTGCTGCCAATGCCGCTGCTGGCCAGACAGGGGCCAAAGCAACCATGTGCTCTGTGCCTTGAGTCAAAGCATGGCTGGAGCAGGGCCAGAGTTTTAGCTGAAGGAGAGTAAGGAGTTGGGGGCAGGAGAGAGGTCCAAGGGCAGTGGCTGTGGCTCAGACTCAAGCCCCAAACCAAGGTTGGGGCTAGACTTAGAGTTGAAACAGCTGTCTTCTCACCTCCTGCTTGCACTCAAATCCAAGACAAGGGGCTTCCCCCCATGTTAAATAGGGAAAAAACCCTTTTCTTGGATCTGAGTAAATGTGGTATTTAATGCAAGAAAAAGAAGCTGCATGATCAACAGTCAAAAAATTCCAGCAGCAGGTGGCTCAGGCACCATAGAGATTCAGTTGAGGTGCAAAGGAATGAATGGGGCAGAGGAACAAGACAGAGTGAAATGGCACTAGTGAAGTTTCCTACCACCCAGCCAAAGTGCTGGGCAGATGAAGATCCCATCACTGAATGCTGTCAGAGCCTCTCTGGTCTTAATCCAATGGCTCCACAAACTGGATCTTGCCCATGGACCATAGGTTACTGACCCCTGGTCTATACACTCACCTCATGCTCCAGGCCAGATCTGGACTGTGGGACTCCTCAAGAACTGGATCAAGCTCAGGCAAGTGGCTCTGATTCCAGCCTTGGGCATGTGGTGGCAGTAGCCACCCAGACCCAGAGCATGTGACAATAGTGGCTCCGGCTTCAGCATCTGTTGGCAGCAGCTCTGGTATGGAGCACAGGTGCTAGCTGCAGCATAGGGCAATGATTAGGCTAGCAGTGGAATAAATAGCGCTTAGGCCAAATTGCCACTTGCCACAGTGGTGGCAACAAGCAAAATGGCAACTGTAGTTGTATCAGCCCCTGCTTGCCATCCTGCTGCATATCACCATGTCCACCAGGGTCTAGGGGCCCTGGATTCTGCTGCAGGCCAGTCCTCCTTGCAATGCCTTTTAAGGCTTCATTAACGCTCATTAAAAAAGACAAAAGTAAAAGAGATCTACAGAATATTAGGTCACATTCTTGACCAGTGGAACTTGTAAGTCATTGGACTCAGTAAATGAACATGTTGATTTGGTAATTCATTGAGACGCATTAACACAGACTCCACATTCAGTAAGCGACTGAATAAGGTAAGCAGTTACACATGCACAACTTAGTTAAAACATTTATCTTTTCAAGCATAAACATTATTCTTCCATAAGGAGTCAGACCCTGCAACAATTCATATTACAAACTTCAGCTGAATTCTCTGTAGGCCTTTCTAAAACAAAAGTGTATGTATATTCAGGGGTTTAGGTTGTAGCCGTGTTGGTCTAAGGATATAGGCAGACAAGGTTCCTTGGGTGAATTTGATATCTTTTATTAGACCAACCCACACACATCTGCATAAAATGTTGGAAATTAATGAACAGGTAAAAATGAAGTAAATGGTTATACTACATTACTTGCACCACATGTATCAGTTAATCTGATTAAAGTATAATTAAATTCTCAAATATAATCTAAATTTAAGATAATATTTATTAAAGAGAAATATAAAGAGAATACCGGCTTGCTTTGTATCTCCTCCTCATCAGCTGCTTTTTATACTATTGCCGCCCTTTGTAACAATTGCTAGGTCCTCTGCATACCTAGTCAGTGCAACTGCACTTGATTTGTGCTCGCTGGCCAGATGACTCTTACCTTCCTCCTCTTAGTTATTTGACTCCTCTAATTCTTCAAGATATGGAGCTATTAATGCCCAGAGTATATGTTATTGTTGTATATTTTTACAACCTCATTCCTGGAAATATTACAAATAAAATGTAAACCATATAAAAGCAGCAGGAAGCAGAAGGAATAATAGGAAGCAGAAGGAACACTAGACTCACAAAGACATTCCTAAGAAATTCCTAAGAAAGTACTGAAGTTTCCCTTCCCTTCCAACCCTGACATTACTTGTGTACTTCACCTTTTAAGAAATTCTCAGAATTGCCACTGACATTAACAATTAACTATGGCATGGTCCTTTATCTACTGCGGCCACCTATAAGTTTATTGGGGTGCTCACCAGGATCTGGGAGAACATCTGTTCACCAGAGCGCCCCAAGGGATGACAAGGTTGAATGGTCACAAACTCCTCCATGATCGTTTCAGGCTGGACATAAGGAAGAACTTCTTTACTGTCTGAGCCCCCAAGGTTTGGAATAGACTGCCACCAGAGGTGGTTCAAGCACCTACTTTGAATGCCTTCAAGAGACATTTGGATGATTATCTTGCTGGGATCCTATGAACCCTGCTGAATTCCTGCCCCTGGGGCAGGGGGCTGGACTTGATGATCTTCTGAGGTCCCTTCCAGCCCTAATGTCTATGAAATGAAATACTGAAATCAATGGCAATATTCTAAGTAATACTGACAACTATACTATCCAGACTTGAGTGAAAATTTTGCTGAATTGGTGACTGAAAAGGAGAGAATTGCTTTGTGCCTGCTGCTTTAAGAGATTTGAGCAGGCTGTGGAGCAGCCGGCAGGTGCAATGCAACTTAACAAAATGGTTACATGACCATGAGAGGAATCCTGGATTGGAGGATGGGGCTGAGCAGCCTCAGTATAAACCCAGGCCCTCAAAGATGAGCTGGCGGTTGCTGCAGGAAGCCAGAGGGATAACATCGCCAGGCCAGAACTGCTGCTCCCAGAACACCTGGAGCTTAAGGGTTGGAACTATGGAGATGGAGGCAGTTCCTGGTCCTGGGGCATGACCTGAAACTAAATTCTGCTGGGGAGGATGGTGTGCTGGGGCTACCCGTGGCAGGGCAGACTCCAGGAAATGCTACACCAGTGCCTCCCTAGTGAAAGGTGAGTATGGGGCACTGGAAAACCTCAGCCCCTGCTACCTTGTGGATGATGTGTGGGGGGTGGGGGGAAGGCTAGAGGAGCACACCCTGACAGAAAATCATAGGGCCAAGGCCCACAGAGTGGAGCTTGAGGCCCATGGGGTGTAGTGGCCCTACTGAGACCCCAGTGAGGTGGAGTGAAAGCTATACGCCACGTAGAGTAGGGTCCGTGGGGGGCCTGAAGGATTGCACATAGGCTGGCCAGAGTAGAGGCCCAGTAAGGGGCAGAGAGTGAGTCAGTCCAGTAGGGTGAACAGCGGGCTCAGGAGGGTTCTAAAGAGTAACTATGTGGGCCACAAGCTCACGGAGTGAGAGCAATGTTTGGAGGGGCCCGAGAAAGCAGAACTGTATGGGAGAGAGGACTAGATGATCAAAACCAAGCCAGAAAAACCTCGACTGGTCCATGCTGGGGCCAGGACCAGAACAGTCAAAGGGCAAGGACGCCCACTGCGAAGGATGGCCAGAAGCTAGAGGCCTGGAGTTCTGACTGGGCTAGAAGCAAGGCCAGGGCCTATAAGGCCAAAAGTCCCAGGGTGGGCCACTGCCAAGAGGGAAGGAGGTCTAGGGAGTTTTGCAGCCCAGAATGAGGGTGGAGGTTAGGCTGCCTGAATAGGAGGTATCTAGGTTGGGTCCAAATGTCAGGCGGGCATATAGTGGGGCCCAGAGTGAGCCCGGAGCCGTATAGTGATGCCATCTGCAAGGCATGAGACATGGTATAAGGGGAGGTTTGGAGCAATGTATTACGCCCTTGGTATTGGGTATTAAATGGTTAGCCCCCTGCCTTGTAAACATCCATTTCAGTTGCTTCAAAGGCATGGCAGGTGAGCAAGGTGGGTGGATTGACCTAGACAGGTGGGAGGGCCAACAAGCTGATTGGCCACAAGGTGGTCCCCGATCACAATGACTTTTAGTTAAAGCACTCCCACCCCCATTTTGAAGCACGGGGACACTGAATATACGAGATGCTGAGGTTGCTGGAACATGCTAATTAACTTGCTTCAGCCGACTCAATTAATCGAGTTTGCTCCGACACCCTGTAATTACAGCGCTTTAGAGCAGATGTTCTGCATGTCTACAAGCACCCAATATGTTTAAACACTAAAAATGTATGGCGCAAAAGAATTAACTTTAGCTCAAACCACATTCTTAGAAAGGTTTACCAAATATTTATAGAATTATTAGCCTACAGAATACTAGAGCCCTTTCAAAATACTGCAAATTATTTACTTATTACCTCAGTATAAAATTTTCTTAAACTGAATGCCAGGTGCAAATTTAGCCAAACATTAGATACATGAGAATTTATTTAATTACCTTTTGTGCAGCAAGATGAAGAGCAGTTCTCTGGCTACGATCAGATTTATTAACATCTGCTCCTGCCTTCAGCAAGGCCTCAGCACAATCCACTCTGTCAGCCAGTACACAGTACATGAGTGGAGTTCTCCCAAACTGGTCCTCTTTATTTTTCAGATCAAGGTTTCCTTTAATGATAATAAATAATTACTAAAGTTTGTCTTCTAAATTTACAATTATATTGCCTTACAATATAATGTAACAATATAAAGCTTCAATAACATAAAATGTTTCTATGAATTTGAGAAACCACAGAATCTGTGCAGACAAAACAAACTTTGATCATATGATATTGCTTTACAATAAGTACTTTTAAAATTAAAATAAAAGAAATACAAGTCTTGAAACAAATAGTCAAAATTACAGAGGACACAATGAAAAAAATCAGTCTCTAATTTTTATCCTGACAGGGGCCTGTCTAAAGGCCAGTCTCATTGTCAGCCTGCCCACCTGTCTAGGGAAGTCCACCCACTTGACTCGCCTGCCACACCTTTGTTGGAATTAGTTGTTTGTAGGTGGGAGGCTGCCCATTTATTGCCCTGACACCAAGGCTGTAATACACAACTCTGAACCATCCCTACACTGTGTCCCATGCCTCACAGATAGCATTCAGATCCACTATTACTCCCCTAGCTCCTTAGCTGGACCACACTCGGCTTCTGCCCCCAACTTGGCCTCAGGCATCCTCAAGCATACCTTGGCCACATGCCCCGCACTGGGGCCTCTACTCTGCCCTCTCACTGGAGACTCTACTTCCAGTTGGCCTATGCGCAGTCCTTCAGGCCCCCAAAGACCCTACTCTACACAGCCTCTGGCTACCACTACTTCTGGTCAGCCTATGTACAGTCCTTCAGGGCCCCACAGACCCTACTCCGGCTCTCTCTCCCACACTGGGCCAAACTCAGCCTCTGGCCCCTCTCTGGGCGCCTGAGCCTTACGCCCCTTGGGCCTCAGCTGTCTGTCAATGTGCCTGGACCCAACCTCAAGCCCCATTCAATGGGCCTGGGCCCTGTGCTTTTCTGATGGGGTGTGTTCCCCTAGACTTTCCCCTCCATGAGGTACCCACAAGGCAGCTGGGGCTGAGGTTTTCTGGTACCCCATACTCGCCTTTCACTAGGGAGGTACAGGTGTGTCATTTTCTGGAGACTGCCCCACCACAGGCAGACCCACCACACCATCCAACCCCATCAGGGTGTACTTTCAGGTCATGACCCAGGTCCAGGAAACTCCTCCATCCCTATAGCTCCTACTCTGACCTCCAAGTGTTTTGGGAGCTGCAGACTTCAGGCTGAAAGATGTTGCTCTTCTGGTTCCCTAGGTGTAACTGCCAGCTCTGCTCCTAAGGTCTGGGCTTATACTGAGGCTGCCTAGCCCTCCTCCAATCTGGTGGCCCCATTGTGGTCATGTGACTGCCTAATTGGGCTTAAGCACACCTGCCAGCTATTCCACAGTCTGCTCAAGCTCCTTAAAGTGGCAGGCACCAAAGGTGCCCTGCTACACTGTCCTATTCATAAAAACTAGACTCAAATTGTAAAATGCAGATGATGAGTTGCTTAACGAATTACTTAAATAAAGGACAAGAAAATTATACACAAGGACCAGCAACTGTAATATTCACTATAGAATCTATTCCCTGCAGCAGAATTGTCCATTAGAAGATGACTGTTCATTAAAAAAATATAGTGTAGACATTTTGGTTATAAAGAAAATTTAAAAAACATTAACTGAAAGTAAACTAAAACTAGACATGAATTCCTTATTCTGTAAACATACCATCTGAAACAAGTTGCCATCATGGTCTTGGTGTTTTTTACTATGGGGTGGTATTCCAGGAAGAAGGATTGGTGGCAATAGATGGAGTCCACCTGATGAAGTTGGGGAAGAGTGTCTTCACATACATGCTAGCTAACTTACAAAGGAGGGCTTTAAACTAGGTTCAATGGAGGACAGAGACAAAAGTCAATAGAGAACTAAAGAAGCAAGGTGATCCAGATAAAGACCAAGAAAGAGGAGACAATATAGGGAGCCTCAACAGTGTTCTCTGAGGTAAATTAGCAAGATAATAAATGAATAATGCTAGAGACAGGGATGTCACACTTATTTGGTCCTGTGGGCTAAAAGAGTGGCACGGGGTCGGTCCATGGGCCACATCTGGCCCATGGCACCCTCTTCTCCCATCTCTCTGCATGCTGGATCAAAAGTCTGTGGGTGCCATGTGCAGCATGGATCCCAGACCAATTGGAGTGGGCACCATGTGCAGAGCTACTGGGGATCAGGGAGTGGGGAGAGGGAACTGCGTGCGGCATGGATCCCAGTCTGGCTGAGCCCTGTGTGCACACCAGTCTAGTGCACACCCGGCAGCATCTGTGTCAATTCAGACCCAGAGGAAGAACCAGGAGCCAGATGATGGAGTTCCATGGGCTGAACTTGGGACATGCCTAGTTTAAGAAGTTTATAAGTTAATGAGAAGCATAAAGAAAAAGCAGAAAGAATTAGAAACCCTAGTACAATCATAGCAGTGTGATCTAATTAGGATAACTGGGACAGTACTTCTCATGACTGGAATACTGCCATGGATCAGGGGTTGTTAACTGGGGGGACATGTACCCCCAGGGGTACTTGAGAAGGCCCTAGGACAGGGGTGGGTAAAATGCGGCCCGTGGGTCAGAAGCGGCCTGCCAGGCCATTCTGCCTGGCCTGCAGGGCCCCTAAAAATTTAGAAAATTAATATTTATTTGCCCCTGGCTGCCTGTTATGCGGCCCTCAATGGCTTGCCAGAACTCAGTAAGCGGCCCTCCACCCAAAATAATTGCCCACCCCTGCCCTAGGAGGTACACATGGGTGGGCAAGGATGAAGCGCTGCCATGCACTATCCTGTGCTGCCACACAGGCGCTGCCTACCTGGCTGGACGCAGGAGAAGCTCTCAGGCAGCGGCTGCTGCCACTTGGCATTTAGCCATGCACCACACCTCACTCCACTCCGTGTCTGGCCGCGCACCCCATCCTGCCTGCCCCTGCTCTGTGTTCAGCCATGCACCACCCTCCCCCTCCTCTCCGTGTCCGGCTACACACCCCATGCCCCCCGCTGCACATCCAGCCGTGTGCCACCCCTCCCCACCGCTCTGCATCTGGCAGCCAGGGGTACACTGCTCCATGTCCGGGTGCCCAGGGTACACTGATCCCAAAAAGTTGAAAACCCCTGCCATGGATGGTATAACTTTTTGAGAAAGGACAGGCAATAGAAAAAAGAGGTAGCATTACCACTGAGTATCAAATGACCCAAGTATCTCTTATTCCAATGTTTAAATTGACTCTCCACCTGACAATATCTACAGTTCAATTATATGTCATCAGTATAAGAACATGTAATACAGTAAAAAATTTGGACTTGGAAGCAAGATAAAATAAATACTATTTTGAGTAAGAATAATTTCCCAATAAATACCCTATTTCTTGTATTATCCAGTTTAATAACTTAACCAAAAATTTAAAAAATAATGTTCTAGAAATTGCTGAAGAATAGTGGCAGCATAGAATTTGTTCTGACCCAGGAAAAGGCCAGGGAGGCACTGTTACTTTAAAAGTCAAATTCCTTCCAGCTTGATCCAGAGATGAATACTACACCACACTTTTTTGGAAGGACCCACATATTCTGTTCATCATACTTAATCAACTCTGCTGGCCATCATGTTTTGAGTAGAGAAGGAAAGAAAACTAGAGCCTGGTTTCAATTCATTTCTTCAAATAATGGAAAAAATTGCTAAAAATGCAGCCCTTACACTTCCTTCTCCTGCGTCCAAATGTTAGAATCCATTCATAATTAATATGGCCATGCCAGGGGACTCCCCAAGGAAGCTGTAGATTCTCCTGCATTGGAGGTGTTCACAAACAGGCTGGGTACACATTGGTCTGGGATAGAATAGAAACATCACATTTTGTACAGGGGGGTGGACCAGATGACCCCTAAAGTCACTTCCAATTCTATAATTGCATGACTCTTTCAGCCATGACTTTCTATAATTCACTAATATCCTTGGTTTTTCTACCCTTCTTAAACTGAGTCTACATTTGTGCATTTACAACTTTCACGTGCATGAATATTGGCCATTTAAAGCTCTGGCTAAAGCAGCTGGCTCTGAATTTTGGCTAAGAATTGGAGGGAGACTAATATTTAGATGTAAATAACGATAAAAATAGCTACAAAAGAGTTTTATTTTGTTAGGGACTGGGGCATGAGTGGTCTGGCCTAGTGGTTAGGCACCGAAGCACAGGTGCAGTCCAAGTTAGTTTCCCAGGAACTGGGGGGAGATGGAAGGATCCATTGCTAGAACTGGAACTGGGAGCTATAGCTGAAGTCAAGATAGGCTGGGGTCAAAAGCTGGAGCCAGAGACAGGGTAAGCTGAGGGTTAACCAGGATCAGAGACCAAAAGCTAGACCCAGAGGTTGAACCAGAATCATAGGGGTGCACTGATAAAAGATTTTAGGGCTGATACTGATGACCGATTATTAACCAACCATATCGGCTGATACTGATCCGATTGCCGATATGCAGCCCAGCAGCTTGGAGAAGTGTCCAGCTAGTAAGTTTGTTGGGGGAAGGGATATGGGGGAGGGAAGGGGTGAGGGGGAGCATATCGAGGCTCCCGCAGTGAGAAGGGCTGGGGTAGGGGCAGGCACTGCCTAGCTGGGGCGGAGGGGAGGAGGCTCCCACCACTGTGTGTACCTCAAGGGAGGCGGGGGGGCATATGCCCTCCAAATTTGTGCACGAGGCTCCGGCAGACCGCCTGCTGTGGGCTCAGGGCCAGGGGCTGTGCCAGTTTCTTCCCAGCAGGGGGACCAGGCTGGGGCTGTGCTCAGGCAGGCTGGTAGTGGCGCTAGGAGGGAGGCCTATGGGGGGGGCTACAGACACTCTAAAATTCTCTGTAGCCCCCCCATAGCCTCTCTTCCCTGTGCCTGCCCTGAGCGCAGCCCTGGGTCCGAGTGCGAAGCAGGCAGCCCACCCATGCCCTACGCACATGCCCCCCATGCTTTTCTCAAGGGTGCACGCAGCAGTGGGAGCCACCCCACTTCCTCGCCTCCATGACTGAGCTGCCCATGGCTCCATCCTGCACTCTCTCCCTCACCATG